AGGAGACGCCTCACTTGACTGGCACTCGGTCAACACGTATTGTGGTTGACGGCGGCTATCAGTTATTCTCAGCCATGTTGACGAGTTCCTGCTCTATCATTTCACTGTTAACTTTATTTGCTCTGAGCTTTGAGCGATTTATTGTCACCGTCAAGTCTATTCAGCGTAAAATTCTGTTCACACGACCAAGGGTACAAGGCTTCATCGTCACCACCTGGGCCACGAGCCTCCTGACCGTGTTGGCCCTCATGCATAGCGATGGTGGGAATGTCGCCTTGTGGTACTCCTTCTACAAGCTTTCGTTCGGAGTGTCACCACAAGGGTTGAGAGTCACCCTTCCTACAGTAATGGCTATTTTAGGTATAGTTTGTCTGCTGACGGTAGTGTTCTCGCTACTTGCTGTTTGTCGCTACACTATACAGAAGGCGAGGAAGGCTGCAGAGATGAGAGAACTTGGTGAAACTGATTTAGACCAAAGTAAGGAGAAGCCTATAGGTGTCCTCACCATTATGGTGCTCATGACTATCTTCTTCGTCTTTTCCACCACCCTGGCCTTCGTGGCCTCCGTCCTCCAACTCTCGGCCGCAAGTGTCCCCCGCGTGGAGTTAGTGTGTTACCTCTGTTGGTGGGGCTTCCTGGCGGCTGCCTCCTGGAATCCTTGGCTTTACCACCTGCCTAGTCAGCACTTCCGGCACGACGTGATCGCCATCATCACCTCCCTCGTGCCAAGGAGTATGAGGGATCAATCCTGGCTACGTTCACTTATACCTCAACGATGGCGGAAGGATACGTCACCCTCGGATGGAGTCGACATCGAACTGAACACCGTAAAGAAGAAATCAAAGAAGTCCACAAAGACACTACCAGGGATGAGAAATAAACAGTTTCGAAGTGTTGTTATCTAACACAACGACGCCACATTTGATGTATATTCTGTACGATTGGTCTTGGTAGCTTAGTGACTGCTGAACCTCGTGACTGTGAGGGAGAATGTACAGTTGTTCTCAGTTACTCTCTGACGTGACCCCTGTATACATGTAGATGACCCTTGTGTAGGTGACCTTTATATATGTGTAAAAGTGATCCACGTGTCAATATAATGTAAATATATAATAAACACGAATGAAAAAATATAACATTGAGATATTTTGCTTACCACACCAATAGGAGGGAAACATTACACATAGTTGCCACTTTGCATGATATAATTTCATAAGATTTGTCCCTATAGTACAAAGATATACAGAAAACGGGAGAACTACTGAAGAGGAGCTGAGTGGCACAGGAGGTTGAGGTGACACCTTGACCTTTGAGAATACTTCAGGCGTCCGGATGTGAACGAGGCTATCATGACGAACTTTAAAAGCGATTATACATGTTGAACTATTACTACTACTGCTAATATTACTACTAATGATGATGATGGCACTTGACAAGACCATAAAAAACAATGAAAGAATCCTACATAGACAACTGGCCTCCTACCCTCGGCCTGGCCACCTCCCCTCGGCCTGGCCACCTCCCCTCGGCCTGGCCTCTTCTAGTATTGTTATTTCCTGTCGGCGAAAAAAAAAGTCTCGAAACGTTTTCTGTATACAAGTCTAATTTATCCTTTCTACCACTTAGCTTAGTAGCCGTCTGGTGTGGTTGATCTCTTCTTTACTGTGGCCTTCAGTGTCCAGTGTTAGTATGAGAATTGTGAACGCTTGCAAGAATCTGTCAGTGTGTGTTGTGACTGTACCGAGTGTGAGCTTATTCAGGACTACACTTATCCAAAACATATTTAGGTTCAGATACATTCAGTAATTCAGTGCCAGTGTGCCCAGTACTTGCCAATAGTGTGTAACAGAGATGTAAGCGACCACCCAAGCGGATAACAGGTGGATCAGTGGTGAAGAGGATGAATCGTAGGAGGAAATGGTATTACTCAGTGGGAAAAAAATGCGATGTTTGGGAGTTATTCTTGATGACTTCCCTACTGAAGGTGCCTCGGGTTACTGAATCATAGTACTTACAAAACCTTTAACTTTTCCGATTATTTTTAGGTTCTGATTTATCCTTTTGACGTTTAGATTGACACAATATATACATTGTTTCGCTTCTTCGACTGTATGACCGAACTTTGACCAACATTTCCCACTTTGATAATAAGTTGACCCATCTTCTCTCTACACAATTATAATTAAAATCATCCTTAAACACCTAGCACTTTACCGAAATATTTATTGAGAATTAGGAAAATAATCAATGAATCAAATGTAAGCCAAAGAGAGTTAATGATAAATTTAGATGAGTCCCCCAATGATATTAGAAAAAATGGATCGCAAAGTCTGTTCAGAAAGAAACCACAGAAAACGGTTATCCTGTTTCTAGCGGTAACTTAATTATCTGTTTCAAGTTACATTGCTATTTCTAAGTTACTGTGAGTTATAGCAGGGGCAGTAATAAATCACCTGTAGATTAGACACCCCAACTCATATCACCTGGGGACTAAACACGCCTACGCTAGCTGGAGTGGGTTATATTAAATAGATAGGATAGGATAAGTGATGTTAGGATGATTAATATTCAGGTGAAATAATCTGAAGTGTCTAATTATCAGGTAAGCCGTTAATAACCACTATTTATGAACCAAATATATAACAGTTTACTTCAAATACTCTACACTTCTATTGATAACCAGAGGTGCGACACTACACGAGGTGCCTGGAGACTTATCCACACTCACCCTCAGTAACTTGTCTGTCACTATTTCACCTCATTAGTAGTCAGGTGAACCAAGGTCGGTGTTACCTGGTGGACACAAAACTCTCCTGACCACACACTTAAGACTCACTGTTACGAGACATCATTCCTCTCATGGTCCGCCGCTCACACCTGAGGTCCTGGGTCTGTGTTTATATAGACAGTTGAGTTTATTGTCCTCGAGGCTTGAGTCAGTAATAAAGCTCTGTTATTGTGTGAGGGAATCATGTGACACACACATTATATATATATATATATATATATATATATATATATATATATATATATATATATATATATATATATATATATATATATAAATATATATATTTCCTTTCTCTCCTTCCCTACCTTTCCTCTCCTATCCTATGCCATCCCCCTCTCCCCTCCCTTCCCCACCTCTCCCTCGCTCTCCCACACAGCTGACCAGAGGGAGAAAGGAACGATACAGTTATCAATCTTCTTGCCAATTTTCACTTGCCCGATCACTCCACCGGTGTATGGGTATTTCTCTTTGGTCGCACCGTTTTTGTGAGAGGCGGAGAGGGCGGCAGTATATTGGCGGAGCATGTTGGTGCTGCCGCTCTGACGCCACCTATGATGGCGCTATGATGCAGAATAATGCTGAATGGCTGCTGTATATATATATATATATATATATATATATATATATATATATATATATATATATATATATATATATATATATATATATATTTATTTTTTTTTTTTATCACCAAGCTCAGAGAAAATGGGATGTTTCCTCTTGGCTGCTCTAATATTCTTCCTCTATCTCCCATTTTTTTCAATCTCAATTCATTTATAGAATCGTGTATTGTTACACCAAACATGAACAGGGGTTCAGCTGAACACATCAATCCTTCTTATACCTTAAATGATCTATTAGTGAACATACTGTACTGTATGTTGAACTCTTAAGTTATACATCATGTAACTAGGAACTAAAGGTTGTGGATGACTGAGCCTTCACTATACACACTCGCTGCATCACTGGTCTGGTGTGTCACTGATCCTGGCGCCCAATTAATTGAACTTTCATCACCTTTAGCCCCGAACACCGTGAGTCTCTGATCCAACCAGGACAAAGTAATACAGGTGTTTATCTTCCCAATACCTGGTGGCTTCCTTGTGGTCAGAAGCTCCACCAGATGAACTTATAATGAAGGCAGGTGTGGGTACAGCACACACACATGGATCGTCCCACATCACATCTTGACATGAGCCATCTGTCTGCTGGGTTGAGGCTGTGTCTGTAATGAAGCTTCTTTGACAACCTTGTAACTTACTGTACCTTCTCTGTTAGCTGAGGGAGTATCTACATTTAAGACGGTTCAGACTCTAGTGCTTAATTGTCAACATGTCGTCAGTGTGTTGAAGCAGAGAGGAACCTAAGGACTTGAGGACATGCAATTTCTTCCTCGGTTGACACCTTCCTTGAATATGGTTGAGGTGGCCGAGTGGACACAACGCTTTAATGTGTTCTAAGAGTACCTGGTTCAATCATGGGACATTACTAATCCATTCAGCTTTATATTGACACCTAAGTTTACAGTTAAGGAATTAAAGACGATCAAGTGCAGTGCCGGTCATGCTGCAGTCTGTGTATGTATGTGTGTGTGTGTCGTTTTGAAATACAGTCATGTTTGTATTTAAGTCAGGGCTGGGTAGAAGCGTTGACTATATACACTATTTTACTCTTTAGATAAAAATAAAACACTTAATATTTCTTAATGGGGGTGTATAACTTATAGTCTATGTGTAAATAATTGTCTTTTCGTTTTGTTGTATTTACATATCCATTCATATAGTCATTTCTCTATAGGATTTTCTTCAGCTATATATTTGTTTATTATTCCGACCCTCAACAATCCATAACTCAATCAACTCAAAGCGGCAAAAGCCATCCATCCCCCCCAAAAAACTCAGGAACCCTAACAGCTCTTCTGGAGGATGTGAAGAAAAGCGACACGCAATGAATAAAGTGGCAACCTCTCTCCCCCCTCCCCATTCCCCTTCCCCCTTCCCCCTTTGCCTGTATTCTACCTGGATCAGTCTCGAGCACAGCGACCGCAGTCGGACTCCTACAATGCTCCCGGTTTGCGGTGGTCCGTCAGATGTCGCCCGTCATGAATACCGGAGGGGACCCCCACCCATAACACGCCACCATGACGCGATGGATTTCGTTACTTTTAATTCCAATTCGTACTGATTTTTTAACCTTCGTAACTACTGTTTGGTCTCTTATATCAATCTTATATGCCGTGAATATGATTATTATAAATTTATCGAGAATTAGCCATCAAAATAATGAAGAATTTAGCGGAATTTAAGAGAAATAAGAGCGAGAAAAGTGACGATGTGTGAACCTGAACAATGAGTGGGAACATAAGCCAGTAACGGGTGAAAGAAAATAAATAAAAAAGACTCAGGTGATGTCACAACGTATCATTCTTCCTTTAACTTGATCAATCTTATGTTCCCAGTTTAGAATTCTACATCAAAATCTTTAAGCGAACTGACAGGTTGGGTGAGACGAGAGAGTGAGAGAGAGAAAAGAAGAGAGGGAGGAGAGAGAGAGAGAGGGAGGGGGGGGATAAAAAGATTGAGTGGTTAATAACGAATTTACTCACTATCTCATAAATGATTTTGTACTTCATGATCGAGGTATATCGAGTATTTTTATATATTCATTTTATTTTAAAATTTGATACATATTAATAAATTTTACGTATTGTGTTGAAGTGTCATGGGCAATTACACACACATATACTGTACACACACAAACACACACACACTCTCTCTTTCTATCTCTCGTTCTCTCTCTCTCTCTCTCCTTCCCACATGCTGTCTCTTTCTCTCTTATACCTCAGTTCGAGAGAGGCAAGAGGATGACGTAGCTACTCTGATTATACATACATAGACATACATACATACATACATACATACACACACCAAACATCTACATTCATAAGCACATAAAACGAAATGCACATCGCCTACCACAAAGGCTTTCAAATAACACTTTCAGAGGAGCCAACACTTCAACCACCCGTCAACACCTCATACCACGTCACCTCCTCACGACAATGTATCCACGACAGGCCAGAACCCCTTAAAACCCCCTTGAACCCCCCCCCCTTCAACCCCCTAAAAAATAGAATAAGGAACTAAAGAAAGAGAAATAGAGTGAAAATATCTGTCTCGAGAAGATGGGTGGAGTGAGGGGGTTCGGGTGTCAAGAATAGACGATTTCTGGTCGCCTTTTAGAAGCCAGTAAGTCGCTCATGTTATTCACCGTCACTGGTCGGTTCTTTCGACTATAGAATAAGTCAATTTTTCTCGCTTTTCTCGTACGCTTTTGTCAGGTCGT